CACATACAGGCACACGCACAATAACACATACGTGTACATGTAGAGAATGAGGCAATAAATACTTTCTCTCTCTCTCTCTCTCTCTCTCTCTCTCTCTCTCTCTCTCTCTTAATACTGTGGTCATATTCAGCAGAAATAAAATATAATTCGTCAACTCCAGTGCGGGGAAACAGACGTTATTACTGAGTAATTGCTCGCGCTGTTTTGCGTGCACCCTAACAAAAACTGGAATAACAGTAAGCTGCGGCTACATGGGGGACAAATAAAGCATGAACTTTAAACGATATAATTCGGCCTGACATTTATTCCACCCAAACCACATCACAATGAAATTATCTATTTCAGTCAGGCACTTTTGGGACAATTACACCTAATCATAGAGAACATATTATGTGAATACCTTCGATGTTATCAAAACTGACGAGTGGTCGTATGGGATTCTGTGGTTGAAAAAAAATCCCCTGGAAATTGGACTTAAAATCAAAGCAGGACTTTGTGAACCGAGATCCAGCGGCGCCAATCAGAAAACCTCGATGAAGAGGAGTGTATTCCACGCTGAGAAGAGAATCGAAATTGATTTTGAGAAAAACAACAAATTATGAGCATCGGGGTGCCCATAAGTCCAAAAAGGGGAGGTGATTGTAAAGACAATAGCCAAAGATAACTCAAGTGTTTGCAACCTGGGCGAATCATAATTATATAGAATCTATCGTGCAATGTCAACCTTGTGACAATGAGAGACCATATGAGGGCCGATTTTTCACAACACAAACGTTGTTACTTCACAGCTCGAATGTTAGCAAATCAGATCAGGGTATTGAGGCGAACGAAATTACATAACAAAATGTTGACGGTAAAATCTCTTTGAACGAAACTTCATCATTGCCTCTCTGGATGATGGCAATAAAGATCACAATAAACTATAATTAGGCATGAACGAGATCTGGATATTTACAGATTTGGCAGATCTATATATATATGCACTGACAAAGGCAATTTGCGGTCTTGCTTTCGTGCTTTAGTTTTGTTGTTTCATCAGAAGCAATCTTTCTTCCATTCGTGAACCCCTGGTACGGAGCACTGTGTTGGCATGTCACATAAGGACACTGCTTATTTAATTGCGTCTCTGAGTCCCTGGTAAAATTTCAGAATTGGCTTTGACTTAAATATTTAATTGAATCCGTATTAACATTTGAGACATTGCGTCTGAAAGATGTATTAACTTGAATAATAATAATAATAATAATAATAATAATAATAATAATAATAATAATAATAAAGTGAAGATGGTAATACAGAAGGAGAAGAACAGCACAAACAACACAACAATCATAATAATGTAGATACATAAAAAAATGAAAAAATAGGGGAAATGGCATCTTTAGATAACGATCTCTCTTTTAATATCTTTAGTCTAAAAGCAGCATAAGAGGGGAATATTAGCAAGCAGGTCATTGCTCGAGGTAATTAGTTTCTATTACTGTTATTGATAGAGCCAGAAAGTATCTAAGACGACGTTTCTCCCAACCTGTGCTTCCCTGCACGCTGGAACCAACCAACTTTGTTGTACGTTCACAATGAAATTATCGGGCTAGACAGTTCGAACAAACTCCGCGAGACTCTGCTGTACACGTAAGAAATAAGATCAACAGATTAACACACCTACTGGTATAATTACAATGTTCACAATGAAAGTATCAGGCTGGGTAGTTCGTAAAAACTCCGCGGGACTCTCGCTGTGCATGTATGCAGTCAGATTAACAGATTAACACGCCTACTGGTATAATCACCAGCTTTTCAGTATTCTACCCATCGCCATGCTAACGTTTTTATCTGATTTCATCTAGCGAGAGTTGGGTCGATCTACGAAACCGATTATCTACTGTGAACGCACCCTGTGTCGTGACAGAGATATTGTGCAATGCAGAGTGGAATCGCTTCCATTACTTTAGAGATCACAGCGCATTTTACCATCACGCAGATTGGTCTCTGGCACGCTGCTGTAACAAAATGTTCAAAAAACCTGGGTTTCAGCACGGCAAAATGAAAAATATGTAGGAGTCAAGCCGTGTCTTTTGACATCATTAGAGAAATAATTTCCAGACACCTCGATCAGCAGTAACTTAATCTGAAATTCAATCGTTGCAAACTTTGAATCCTAGTCAATTTGTAATAGCATATGACAGTTTACTGCATGCTTTTTTTCCCTATACAGGAAAGGGGATTATATACCCAAGCATCAATGCGGAAAAAATAATATAAAAAATAGAAATAAAGCTTAAAATATTAATTCATTTTACGGTCCATAAATCTAAATTGTGTCCAATTTTCTAAATGCCTCGTTAGTATGAAACGTTGCGGTTATGATGGCTTGGACAGAAATAATGGTTCAGAGATTGGATGGCTTCTTGATCACCACACAAAGCCTTCATGTGGTGCGATCAAAGCAGAAATTTCATTTTCTACTGTGTCCTGGTTCACTTATCTCAGATAAAAGAAAGGAAAAAATGTTTTTAAAAACTGGCGCGAAGTAGTACTGCTTTGGGACTTAATAAGAACAAATCCGAGCACAGTAGCTTTGCCAGTTAAAACCAGCTAGAATCAGTTCCTGTTGGCAAGGACTCTCTTTCGTGCCACTGGCGCCGTTTGTCAACAAAGAGCGAATTTA